TGTTTTACAATTTCAATTAGCATGTAACAGCGGATTCATTTATCCAATGATTTTTCATAAAAGAAATATTTGTTTTCATCACATAAATCAACAAGGCTCGGGCACTAAGGCCAACTTCTTATTATTTCAATAAACAAGAAAACATAGTATATTTCTAAAACATAAACCAAGCGATCCCAGTGTTACACGACCAGAGCATAACTCGACCCAATATAAATAAATCGCTAAATAGCTACACCGATAGCGGCCTCGAGACTACAAGCAGCTCTACTCTGAAATACCTGCACGATGTCATGTAGGATATCATTCCAGCAGAAGGGTGAGAAATATTACCATAATAATCAATGCATATAATTATGTATATAAACAATCATAAAATACATCTATGCCACATTTCTCACCACATTTCATATTCAATTCACACATACTTCTCAATTACCTCATCATATAAACTAGCATGGTTGGTCACATAGCATACTTTCATACAACACTCACATACTCACCACTCTTAAATCAACATATCATGTATATATGCACACTTCTCCTAACATTCACATATTCATCATTTTCAATTACACAAGTCATGTACACATACGTAAGCATAACTTTAATCAACAATTCTATCCATGCCATATGGCTCACATAAAGCCCATCAATTCCACCAATTCCCGCTCGGGATTTATGGGTACATCACTCATACCCCACCAGGAACAACACATAGTCATTCTACCCCGGTGATCACTCCACTAGGAACGACATCATGTCATTCTACCCCAGTGTTCACGAGCCTTATACGCATTCATTATTTTCAACATCATCATCATAATTTACTAAGCAATGCACATATGTTCATAATATATTTTCGTGCATTCTTCACTTACAATTGCATACATACAACATGCATTACAACATTTATCAAGCAACGCACACAATATGTTTATTTCAACACCGATTCACATAAACGTCAACATATCCATATATCTACACATATACATATATCATTTAGCATATTCAATCATGTCTTTCGTCCCAATTCATATCAATTCACATAACATACACATATTATGTTCATTTCCCAATGCACAACGACAACAATGGTAAATGCAACTCATAGAGACCGACTCACGACTCTATGCAATTCAATACGGTACGACTCGATCGTTCAGCAGATTCTCCTAGGAACCATATCACGCAGCATATCCTCCGAGGAATCAAGTCATTCGGCAGATTCTCCAAGGAATCAAGTCATTCAGCAGATTCTCCAAGGAATCAAATATTCATCAGATTCTCCGAGGAATCGAATATTCAGCAGATTCTCCAAGGAATCAAATATTCATCAGATTCTCTGAGGAATCGAATATTACCACAGATTCTCCAAGGAATCACATCGCTCATCGGACTCTCCTAGGAATCCTATCACTCATCAGACTCTCCTAGGAATCAACATCGCTAGAATGTACATCATGATGCCTTTTATGCAAAATGACTCACAACATTTCTCTACATGCATACATATTCGCAAATATATCACTATGCATATTCATCTCATACAGGTACATACAATCTATGTACATTCACAATATACATATACTCCATAGTATATATATATATTCTTCATTTCAACACATACCATTCCATATAAGGTATATACTTTCACAATCAAAATTCGACATTCTAGGATTCACGCCTTGCGGCTACCCACAGCATAACATACCACACGGCACACAAAACTATTCAATTCGATAAGGATTAAACATAACCGAACAAAGAAATCCGCATGGAAAGGAAAAACACAGAGAACAGGAAAATGCTGTCGCATTCGCCAACCTTCGCCTGGCGAAGCCTCTGGCGAACCTTCGTTGCTTCGTTCGCCTGGCGAACTTGCCAACAAAGACCACTGGGAGTTATTCTGGAATTACTCGCTAGCACACTCGCCTGGCGAACCTTCGCCACACTCATTCGCCTGCCGAACTTGCCAGCGAAGACAGGGCAATTTGGTTCTGTTTGGGTTTGCTACCATTCGCTAGGCTTCGCCCAGCGAATGCTCGCTGATGTTCGCTCGGCGAACCTACGAGACCAGAACCCCCATGGCTGTCCAAAATCCCAAACCTCACAAAATCAACCAATTACAAACCAAACAACTCCGGTAAGCTCAACCCAATAATACCCGACCATACTACTCCATCCATCCTCGATTCTAACCGATTAAAACACCATTCTACCGATTAATTCATTTTCGACCTAGAAATGAAAAGTATAGAAAAACACCCAAATATCCCACACAACACATACATAATCATATACATGGATTAGATAATAATGTTTCTCACCCTTACCGGATTAAATCGAAGCTTTGAGTTGCTCTTGATGATTTCCACACTTTTCTTCTTCTTCTCTTTTCTCCTTTTCCTTCTTTCTCTTTTTCTTCCCTTTTCTTTTCCTTACCAACTCTTCTCCCTTCTCTTTCTATTTCTATCCTTTATATTTCTTTCCATTCTATTTCCTCCATAATATATATTTTCCAAACATTTTCCATAAATCATCCACTTAACCATTAATTAAGAATATCCAAAATATTTCCAACTTAATTTTCCAAAACTCCCCAAATGATAAAATAGCATAATATGCAAACTTAACATATTACCACATTATCCCATAATTAAAATAATGCCAATAAATAAATTAATTAGTTAATCAAAATTGGGTTGTTACACGCGAGGTAGTCAGCGGCATTATTCGTGGAACCGACCAGACTGCCCTTTTTGATCTCGGGATTCCCGAGGACGGTCATCCCTTCTTTTCTCGACTCCCCGACGAGATGTCGAGGCTTCATCGTGCTTCGAGGACTTGGCGTTCTCTTGGTGCCTAGAATCTCGGGCGGTGTTGGCTGCTTCCCTTTCTTCATATTAAATGTATGCTTGAGGCTTGAGGAGAAAGACATCCAGTGTTGTGGGGGTTTCGATACCAACAGCCTTGGCAAATTCGCTACGAGGACGGATCCCGTGTTCTAGCAAATATTTTTTCTTGTCGTCAATTGTGGGGACCTGAATGGTTTCTTTCTTGAATCTTTCGAGGTAAGCTCTAAGAGATTTGTTCCTTCCTTGGATGATGGCCTCGAGGGAGGCTTTTATCTTCGGGTGGCAGTGAGAGGCCGTGAAACGTCTAGAGAACATCCTCCCCAACTGCCTCCACGAGGTGATGGATTCATAAGGGAGGCTCTTGTACCAGGACATTGCTCTCTTCCTCAGCGTTGTCGGGAATAATTTGCATTTGATGGCGTCTCGGACGCCGCGGTAGTCGAGCAGGGCATCAATGTTCTCGATGTGCTCGTCAGGATCTGTTATGCCATCGCATGTGTTCAGGTGTAGAGGCTTCTCCCACCCCTTGGATAGTCGAGTGGCCATGATCTCCTGGAATAATGGGCCTCGAGGCTCTTCGTCGTCATTGTAACTGCTCGACCTCGAACGTGAGTGGGTGTCTCTGGTAGGGCGGGGACCGCGGTCTCGGCGGGGAAAAGGAGTTCGTGACCGACCATTAGGTATGGGCGAAAGCGATCGTCGACCTTCTGCCCGTGAATCTCTTCTTTCTCTCTTGACCCCTGAGAAGTGCTGACTCTAGGGAGGAGTGTGGTCACGTTCCTGATTGGCAGGGGTTCTGGCTCTGCTGGGATCTGGTGATTCCTCCTGCGCCGAGGAGGGCTTGGGGACCTCTGGTGCACGCGCCTTGGTGGAAGATATCTTGGACGGCGAACTTCTTCCAATGCACAAATTCTTGCGTTCTGCTAGAGGATCAGAAGGTTCGTCTTGTTGAGGGCTTCGACCAGAACTACCATGGTCGGGTCGGCGTTGGACGAAACTGGGACAGTTTGGTGATCTTTGAGTGTTGGACCTCTGCGTTGTAGTCGCGATCCGGGGAACGAGATGCAGTGACTCCGTCCCTCAACTAAGGAACGTTGTCCCGAAGGGGATTTACCCTTGTCGTTATCAGTCTTGCTGACAGGGGGAATGAAGGTGTTGCGAGCATCATAGACGTTGTCACGGTTGACCATGATCGAAATCTTGAGAAGTTGCTTTGATCTTTGGTTTCGGAGAAAAAAAAAGATGGGGAAAAAGAATTTTTCCACAGACAACACCACTGATCTTGACGACTGATCAGAACCTGAAGTGGGACATAGACTTCGTCTGCGATGCTGGATTTCAAAGATGATAAGGGGGTGTACCTGCAAGGCACTCTGATGCTAAAGTAAGAATCGAGAGAAAAGAAGGCAAGTACAAAGTGAGTATATCTTTGGATGATTTTAGAATATCTGACTCTCTCAAATGAGAGGGTTTTTATAATGCCCCAAGCGTTTGGCCATTGATCCTTAACTTGCATAACTTAGACTATTGAACCATTTTGAGAACAGAAGTGAATTAGGTCATGTCTAATCATTAGGTCAATACAAAACACATTTGTTTAAGTATTTATTACATATTGTAAGAATATTAAATAAATAATTAATACACTTAAAATTTTAAAAGGAATCTTGACAAAAAGAATTTTATATTTAAAGCCTGTAGTAATATTTGATTTTAATTGTTTCTAAAATAAAGAGATCCCATCTTAAGTGTAGGGCCAGAGGATTGAATTTTTATTATTAGGATCTAATAATAAGTTAAAATTTAGATAAAACACGGGCAACTTAGAAATTTATATACTGCTCCGTTGTCACTATGCAAAATTGATGTGTTCAATATACATTGAAGGAATTAGTTATTTTGACTAAATTTACATGTTTGTTTTCTATGCATATATACATATAATAAACTTAGACTATGCAATTGTCACCGAGAAAACGAATATCTCATACTCTTTGAATGTACTCGTATCAGAATTGCATAAGAAGCAGCTGTACAACCGGATGCCTAAACACCCAAACACCGTGTTTCTGTGCAGTTGGTTAATGTCAGGATTGTCAAACTAGTTTTGCGAAAGCGAGAGCAGTATTTTGATAGATATAGCTAAACTTTCTTCTTTTCTTCTGCCTGAACATTGAAATCAATATTATATAAGTGGCCTTGAGGATCAATTAATGTCTTCATTGATAGCTTATTTCCACAATTCAAGAATGTCATCAAATATATTTGCACAATAGAAGCAGTAAAAAATAGGCTTATTCTAATTTATTTAACAGAAAGTAACATGTAAAATGCTGTAACTATTGGAAGCAATTGCATACTCCAGAATCAATTTTGATTTGTTGTGTACTTTTAAACAATTCCATTTTAAATCAGTTGAGAGTTTTGCTCCACAGCTTATTTATCATTTTTCTTCAATCAAAACTATATACCATGTCAACATGAAACAGGAATTCTAAAAACTTTATTAAAAAAAAAAATTATGTAAGAATTAGAATAAGATTTTCCACAGCAAACAACATTCTACTCAATTTAACAGTTCTCACCAGATCCACTGTCAAACAGGTTTTTCTATTGTCGGTCAGATCTGATTGCCGTGATCTTTGGCACCGACCATATAATCTTTGGATAAACTCCTGTATATGATTATAGATACTGCATGACCATGCCAAATTAAAGTTAGCGACAAATATTTATTCAGCCTTATCACAAATGAAAATTATTGTAAGTTAACTTTAAGTCTATCCTTGTGTTACTTTTTACCAATTCCTAACACGTCCAGTTAGCTAAATCCTTTGAAAGTTCAAGGCCCCTTCTAACATCAATTTTTGTGAGCCACGCAAGGCTCGTTCTACTAACATGTGGATTATGGAGTTTCCTAGTCTGAATCAATCTCTTATTCTACTTTTAAAATGTATTTTCATAAATATATTGCCATAATACATTGTCTACACACTGGTAAAACCATCATAATACTATTTTTAATTTAAAAATTTTGGTACTGTGTATATAGATTTGGATTTCTCAGTTCTCACTTAGATGAACCGTGTGCCATATTTACCAAATTCCTTACATCTAAAGCAATGACTGGCTTCACTTCCAATACTAAATTCCCCTATTCTACTAAAAATGGTAAAGCCATTATAATACTATTTTAAATTTTGAAATTTTGGTACCTGTGTATATAGATTTGGATTTTTCAATTCTCACATAGATGAACCTTGTGGCATATTTAACAAACTCCTTATATCTAAAGCAATGACTGGCTTCACTTCCAATATTAATTTTGCTATTCTACCAAAAATGACGAGTGTTCCCTTGAAATTCAATTAAAGAAGTACACATCACTCTAATATTGAATGTCTCATGTCAATGTTACCCTTAAATATAATATTGACTTTATGATTAAATTTATCAGTCAGTGCAATTGCTCAATGAGTTTTAAATAAGAGTCTTTTAAGCTATAGTACAAAAATGTAAACATGATCGATAAATTCTTTGTCAATGTAGGAATAGAATAAAAATATACCTTAGCCGATGCCTGTTGCAGGCTGCGAAAAAGGCAACAAGCCCATATACTATACTTTTGAGAGCTCGGAAAATCTGAAAAAGAAAGTATAGAAAGTCCACCAATCAGGATAACCGTCTTTGATGAAACTACATACATCCAAAAAACTATTGATGGGCCATCTTACAACCTGTGAAAAAAGATCATTCCAAAGAGAGCGCCACATGGAAACTTCATAACTGCTGACTGTGGCTTCAGAGGACGAAGCCAATTGGATTATGCTACCAAGAAACTTCCATGTCTCTCCAAGTATATGAAAAATGCGTGTGCATATAACAGCCAGAAAACTGAACAGTGCCATGACTAGACGAACAGGAGCATATAGAAATTCCCAGAGAATCCGTAATAGAGGATATAAGACACAAGTAGCTGCAGTACATTGAAGAAAAGAACATAGAGGTAATTAGTATAGATTGTATCTCAGATGAAAATTATATGCTTTGTTGTTAAAAGCAATGACAAATTTAAAAAATAATAGGCAGCACTAGTAGTCCAAAACACATGATGACCTACCAATCCTCCAAACAACAGTGAGGATAAACCACAGTGGCAAAAATAATAGCTCCACCGCATCTCCCACTAGATTGCAAGAAGTCTCAATCCCAAACCAAATGACAGAAAATATGCTTTCTAATAGTTCAAACAAAATATTTAAGCTTGGGAGAAGAAATCCAAAAATCTCCACAATTGACTCTATAAGAGGTTGAATAAGAACTGAAAAAAAGGACCGTGTAGTATGTGTTAAGGCAAGAAACCACCTAACAGCCTTCTGGAAGTTATGTAGAAACAGCATTGTCCCCAAGTATTTGACCCTTGAAACCATCTCCCAAGTTTCAATCCAATCAAAAAGAGGCCCACATATACGAGATGCAGTTGCCTTGAGAACTGGAACATTTTTGTATAAATCATAGAATCCAATGAGGACAGTGACAAATGACATTATGACATATAACAGTCTAACAAGTGGGCACATCCAAGGACGATAAATATTGCATAACACTGGATATGACTGAAGGAAGATCACCCAAGATGGAAGGCCAGCCTCTAACAAAGTAAGCAATCGCAGATCAGATATAATAACATCCCTTAATTTGAATGGGAGGTCGTGATCATTAAACCTAAATAACAGTAGAGCATCACTATACTGAGTGGTTTCAACCCCATCATCAGAAACAGATGTAGACCTCGGAGAACAATTCAAAGAGTTATTAATTTCAGCTGCTGAATAGCTATCAACATCCACTTCAGCACTAAAAGAATTCGATAATTTTCTTCTTTTATTAGGCCCAGAAGAAGGAGGTGTGTGCAGCATGTCAGTTGTCTCTTCGTCATCATCAGAATATGCTCCAGTTGTGGTATCCAAACTATCTTGAGAAGTTATGGTACCATTGCAAATGTTATCGTCATCATCATCAACGGATACACTCTCGGGAAGAATTTCACTAGCATCATAAAATATTTCCCCTGTCAAAATTTCACAAAGAAATGTTTACTGAAAGTCCGTGTTAGTACAGAACTAAAAAACCATGCAGACTCTAGTATCGATCATGTAAGATACAATAAACTCTACAATCAGGGTCACGTTTGGAAAAAGGATAAAATAGTAAACTAAGCTTCTTGAATATAATTCTGACTGTTCTAACTCAACCCTCACCCTCACCCCCACCCAAAGAAAGTTTAAGGAAAATTGGATGGATAGAGAGGGATTAAGTGGGGACAAGATACCTCCACCAGTCCCTATAGCTTCTACTCTATGTAACACTAAAAATACAGAAATGTCTCTCCCTAAGCAAGGGCCATTTCCACCCAAGCTTATAACTAATTAAATCATAAATAGAAATTTTATATGAGATGTGTGTGCACGTTGAGATAGATGCCTGTATCTCTCAGTACATGTGTATATGTCTGCTCTCACAGGAAATGTGAAAGCTACGGACAGCTAGATGCTTCTTACAAAGGCTATCCTAAATTTAGATGTAATATGTACATTGACATGAAAGCAATGATAGGAATCTCTGTTACCACCTGAGGCAGACTCCAGGTGCTCTTTCAAAAGTAGCCGTTCGGAAAGTGTTCCTGAGAACCATGAAGACATACAGCTTGCAGCTTGAGCAATATTGTCAAATTCCCATCTTTTCATAAGTTTAACTTCTATAGCCAGTGATGTATCAGTCTGAAAAATAAAAGAAAAATCAAATATACAATAGTACAGACAACAAACTGAAAAAATAACAAGCTTGCCAGAGAGATTGTAACACCTGGAGCTCATTAAAGTAGTTGATACCACGAACATTGTTCCATGCTACTTCAAATACAATAAAGCCATGTAGAGTTCTATGTAGTTCACTGCTGAATTGCAAAGAATTCCTTATGTTTTTCACAGGCAGCAACACACTCTTTTTTGATGACGCTACTGCTTCAATCACCGAGAACAAATTCTTTGGTTTACTTGTGCTTGGTTGAGAAGAAACCTCCTTTCCTTCTTTTTTTTCTCTTCGATTTTTGCTGTATGCAAAAGGAGACAACCTCGACTGCAGATAAACAAACAATTAACTTGTATTCCAGGACAAAACCTAAAAGAAAATTACTTCAAATGATTGTGGTGTGTTTAGCAACCTTGGTAACCATCAATTGCCAAAAGTGTGCTCCCCGTGAACCAATGTCTCTCAACCATGGTCTATTGTCAACAAAAATATACATCTTTTTACTATCATTTGCGAGGAAAAGGCTAAGATCTGCAAAATAAGATTGCAAGTCTCTGCAAAATACATCACATTGACGAGTTGGATCAGTATGAGAAAAACAGAAACACATAAATAACACTGCTAAATTAGTATCATTGATCAATGTAAACACAGTAGTACATAACCACCATCAGCAACAACATAAAAATTTTGATTACAATAACAGAAAACTTTGTTGAATTCTTAAATCCCTATAACTGAAAGCAATATCATTGTATATCTAAAAGAATCAATAGAATTATACCAGCTGAACTCTCCAATTCCATTGAATCTCGACAAAACATAAAACAGTAAATTACCAATGAACCAGAAACCACGAACTTAATACTAATAATCAAATAATCTCAAAAAAACTTAGACGCAGCACCAGGCTCATGAATGAAACAAAACTCAATTCAATTTTAGATGAAAAACATTTCACATAAAAAAAGAAATAAGCGCATGATCCAATAAAATTAAACCCTATAATTATAACAAAAAAAACAAATTAAATAAATTAAAGTCAAAGTCAAATTCAAATCAATTCCATCTTCAATTTCACAACAGCATTTCATTTCATCAACACGACATCAAACATTCAAAACACCTGCACCATACATGCATAATCATGAAAGGAATAGAAAAAAAGAATACCTAATTTGCAAACCCGTAAGAGGAAAAATGCAGCGTTCATCGTCACATTTCCCCATCTATAGAAACAACACCTTCAAAGCCTTTGGTAACACCAAAACCTTGAACGAATTTTCCACTAGCACCTGTTTCAAATTCGGAAAAACAGAGAGTCACTCTCTAGAATGCATTCATTGAAATTCAAGAAAAATGAAAAAAGAAATGTGATGATGAGTGAGAAGAGGATGAAAGAACAACAACCGCCACAGAGTAACTTCATAACAGATAGCAGAGGAGAGGGAATTAAAGAGGAAGATAAGAGTTCATAAATGCGTAGCACAGATAGGTTTCAACGTGTCAGCGAATTTCTGTTGGCGATTATGCCAATTTCAATTCGTTTCGGAGAAACAAGAGAGAGAGAAAGAAAATGCGGAGAAACAAGAGAGAGAAAGTGGTTGAACTCGGGAACACGTTAGTTTTTTTTTCTTTATCATTAATTCTTTTCGATTTTTGGATTTTGGTGTGTTAGCGTGTGTATGTGTGTTGTTAAAGATCTTAAAAATAGAAACAGAGAAAATAAATGAGGACAAAAGTGAGACGGTGGTGCAAGGGCAGACTGGTAATATGTGGCGACGCAATTGAACAGAGATAAAGAAAGTAGTAGAATTTTCTTTTCTAAAACACAAATAAAAAGGAAAGGAAAGAAATAACAAACCTCAAAAAGGGAAAGGAGCGAAGCATTGAAGGCGGGAGCATGAGTTTGGATATTAGTATTAAAGAGCTGAGTATGATGAAATGGCAGTGGCACGCGGTTTATTAAAATGTGGATTCTGCAAGAATTATTGATGCCAATTTTGCTGTTTATTTAGTTGTCATTTGATTGTGTCAAAACAAATTTAGTTGTCATTTGATTTGATAAATATTAATTAGCTAAGGTGACATTTCATTTAATGAGAAAAAATTTCGTCATTAAATTCTTTGGAGAGAAACATTAACCTAAGAAGATAAAGCTTTGACATTTGGTTATCGACGTCCCCTATTCATATAATTGATTATAGGGTGTTCAATTTTTAATCGGTTAGTGTTGTTTTGTCTATTCTATATTTATGTATAAAGTATTCGTTTCTCAACGAGGGACTAGAGGTTGTCCAAAGAGATCAGAAGATCGCCAAAAAAGTATTATGCAGAAAGCCTTGACTTGAAGAGAAGCTATATTCAAGGCAGTAAGACTAGAAAGATAAGCTCGGGAATAAAGCCACCAGAGAAATTCCACAAAAGCGACGAGACCTCCTCTCTAACCTCTAAGGAGACCGAAGGCTAAATTCAAGAGAGATACCCCTTGAAGACGTCAGCATAGCTACCATTTGTTTTTCTTTAATATTGTTTTATTGTTTTATTTTTATGGGCAAATATTGCATCTGTTAAGTATTAACAAGTGTGAGTAGGGTGGATAATAGTCCCACATTGGATAGAAATGTGGTGACTAGAACATTTATAAGTGAGAGAACCCATACACCTATTACCTTAAGGTTTTGGGTGAGTATGTGGTGTGTCTCTCACAAAGGTTGCTCTAGAAAAAAGTCCCACTATGTTCAATGCTCCCTAGTTGAAAGTCCAACAACATCTTTGTCGATTGTAAAGAACGAGTTACTTTTTAATGAGACACCTCACTTTTCATTATGTTAAAATTTGTATGTTGGTTATCCATTTCTTTTCAAGAAACTTAAGAGTTCAAGAGAAGATTGCCCATAGAGGCAATCGAAATCTACCCAATGAGATGATCACTCGCTGGATCTTTAAGTGTGATCCTTGCCGCTCAATGAGTCGATCAATCACTGGAACCTTAAGTGAGATCCTTGTCGTCTAATGAGGCGATCAATAGTTGCATCCTTGTCACTCAATAAGGCGGTCAATTGTTTAATCCTTAAGTGGGATCCTTGTCATCCAATGAGGCGATCAATCGCTGGATCCATAAGTGGGATCCTTATCGCCCAATGAGGTGGTCAATCGATGGATCCTTAAATGGGATCCTTGTCGCCCAATGAGTCAATCAACCGATTGATCTTTGAATGGGATCCTTTCCGCCCAATGACTCGAGGCCATCAATCGTTGGATTCTGGGATTCTTCCTGCCTGATGTGGCGATCAAATTGTTGGATCCTTAAGTGTGATCATTGTCGCTCAATGAGGCAATCAACTATTGAATCCTTAAGTGAGATCCTTGCCACCCAATGAAGCGGTCAATTGCTGGATCCTTAAGTGGGATCCTTGCAACCCAATGAGATGATCAATTATTGGATTCTAAAGTGGGATCCTTGTCGTCCAATGAGGTGATCAATCTCTGGATCCTTAAGTGGGATCCTTGTCGTCCAATAAGGAAATCAAATTGTTGGATCCTTAAGTGGGGTCCTTTTCGCTCAATGCGGCGATCATATTCATTGGATCCTTAAAGTGATATCCTTGCCGCCCATAGAGGAAATCATGACAACAAACGCCCTCAGGCAAAAGTTAAAAACAATATGATGATTATGTACTAAAGAATCTTTGGATCCTTTGGGATTCAACTTCACCTTGTATATCCACTTCAAATCGATTTCCTCCTTGCCTTTAGGCAATTCGACAAGTGACCAAGTGTTGTTGACTTCGATGGACTCTAGTTCCTCATTCATTACTTTCACCTACTTCGAATCTTTCAATGCCTAAGCTGCATTGACTGGTTCGACATTTGCATAGAAAGCATAGTGTACCAGATCACCTTCTTCATTAACCACACTATATGATGTAATCACACATTCTTGCAACCTTGCAGGCATGTGTCTTGTTCGTTAAGGTCTTCTTTGGTCAGCTTCACCTCATACTTCTTCTTGTCGAACTTCTCTTTCGACTTCACTAGCTGGTTTTTCACATAAGATTCTCACTGAATCCTTCTTAACATTCTCAATCCAATCCCATTCCTTAAGCTCATCTATGATCACGTACCTGTTGACTACAACTTGCTTATTCACTGGGTCGAACAACTTGTATCCTCCAGTCGTATGATATCCTATTAGGATCATTTGACTCGATTTGTCATCAAGTTTTCTTCTCAACTGATCTGGCACATATCTATGTGTTATAGATCCAAACACATTCAACTGACTAAGGCTAGGCTTGATACCAGACCAACATTCTTCCGGCGTGATTCCTTCTAACTTCTTCGTCGGACATCTATTCAAGATGTATGTTGTTGTCGACCCAACTTCTCCCCATAATTCTTTGGGTAGATGCTTTCCTTTCAACATACTTCTCACCATATTCATGATGGTTCTATTCTTCCTTTTTGTAGTTCCATTCTAATGTGAAGTGTATGTTGACACTACCTCATGCACAATTCATTCTTTCACACATAATGTATCGAAATATTTTAACACATACTCTCCACCACCATCAGTCCTCTGAATATTTAGCTTTCAACCACTTTGCCTTTCGACCATAGATTTAAATTTGGCAAATACCTCGATCACTTCACTTTTCTTCTTGATCAGGTAAGTCCATAGTTTTCGACTGAAATCATCTATGAACGTGACAAAGTATCTGTTACCTTCAATCGAATCCACCTGGATAGGACCACATACATCAGAGTATATAACTTTAAGATTTGCCTTCGACTTGCTTCTTGAATTCTTGATGAAGTTATTCTTGTGTTGTTTCGTCTGAACACATTCTTCACACACTCGCTTGGAATTTCGACTTCTAGTAATCCTGAAACCATATTTATTCTCTTTAACTCTCTGGTGTCTTTGAAATTGAGATGGCCAAGTTGATAATTCCATATCCATTCATCTCTACTGGCTGCAGTTGCAAGACACTTATGCTCCATCACATTAAGCTCAATCTTGAAGGTTCTATTTTTATACATATGAGCCTTCAAGATTAACATTCCTCCTGAGTCAAAAACTATCATCATATTGTCTTTGATCGTCACCTTATAATTCTTTTTGACCAATTGCCTTATGCTGAGTAAATTACTCTTCATGCCTGATATGTGCAACACATTAGAAATTACTGACCTCTTGCCATTTTTTCTCATAATCAAAACATCACCAATACCTTCAACTGTTAGAGTATTGTCATTTGTAAATTTCATCATGTTATTCATTAAGGGCTTTATGTTGACAAACCAATATTTCCTTTCAGTCAATGGTGATAAGCATCCTGCGTCCAAGTACCATTGGTCCTAAAATCTTTCTTCATCTCTTGTTGTAACCATCAGCAACATCTCTTCTTCTTCATGTTTCGCCAGCTTTCCATCAGTTTCTTGATTCTTCTTCTTTTCTGGACAATCACTAAAATAGTGACCATACTTCTGACAATTGTAACACTCAATGTGACTTTTGTTAGGTTTTCGACCACCACATTTTCCTCTACATGCAGTACCACCTCTTTGGTTTCCTTGGTTCTAGGGTTTTCTCTTATTCGACCAGTTTCCTTCTTGTTGATTTTGACCAGTTGAATTGTTGTAGCCTCTTCTTCCTTTGTTGTCATTCCAACTTCCTTTTCCTTTCTTTTCTTTTTCTGATTGTGTCTGCAAAGCTATTTCACACTTCGACTTTCCTGCAGCTCTTCCATCCATCATTTGTTCATGAGACTCAAGCATCCCTTGAATCTCTTCCTTCGTCAATGTTGACAAGTCTTTCGACTCTTCTATGGCTACTACCACGTGGTCGAACTTTGGAGTCAATGACCTCAAGATCTTTGCAACAACTGATCTTGATGTCAATACTTCTCCACATACCTTGATTTGATTCACCAGTTTAGTAACCTTAGTGAAGAAATTAGTTATCCTCTCACTTTCTTCCATCTGAAGCAATTCATACGTACTTTTGTGAGTTTGTAACCTCACCTCCTTCATCTTCTCTGCGCCTCCAAATGATTTCTCAAATATTTCCCATGCTTTTTTAGCTGATTCTACATCACTAATCTTTTCAAAGTTATCTGGATCAACACATTTATGAATTATAAAAAGCGATTTATAATATTTCTTCTTCAACTCTTTATATGAAGCCTTTTCTTGATTTGTCACATTTTCTGCAAGCGGTGCT